GGGATCTCTGGAGCAGGAACTGGAAGTTCTGGCTCTGTCAGCTGTATGGCTTTGGGCAAGTCATTTAATCCAGTGCTGCCCGATAGAACTTTCTGTGATGAGGGAAATGTTCTATATCTGTGCTCTCTAATACCAGAGCTACTAGTCACAGTATGACCAAGGAACTGAATTTTCTATTTCACATATGGCTAGTGGCTACCATATTGGACAGTGCAAGTTAACCTCTTAGGACCTCAAGTTCTTATGTAAATGGAGAAGAGTTGGGCTAAGTGATCTCCTCTGCCTTTTAGTTATAAAATGCTGTTATTTTAACTCAGCACAACAAATTCATGTACACATTATGAGTTCCAATTTTGACTTCCTAAAACAAAACATATTTATAAAGAATGTTAAATTATAAACTTTTACACAGAGAACATATTTAAATAATGATCTTCACAAATTTTAATCAATTGTGTATAAATGACATTTTGGACAGTATATAGCACATACTGTGACACTGACAACTGGAGAAAAACATGGGGCATTTGGAGAGGGCTCAGAGGACTGGAAGATGATTAAAGAGTTGAGAAACAAGACACTGAGTAAAAGCTAAGGACCTGGGATTGTTTAGAAAAAAAGACTGGAGGAAGACTTAGTAATTATATTCAACTATATGAAGGGCTATTAGACAGAGATGATGTCTTAGATGCTATTTATTAGACGCTGTAGACATTAGTCGAATGATCTACTTTTCTAAGCATATCTGCTGCTCTATTCAAGAAATGTGTAATAACACATGTATTTCCCACCTGTACACTATAGCATGGAACTTTCTTTCTGCCTAGTGATCTTTCCTCCCTTAAGCCAGTCCATGACAGTCATTCCTTTTAAAATCCACTCCAATCCCCTTCTCCAGGAAGCCTTTCATTACGGATCATCCTTGACTGATCGCTCTGGGTTCCCTCAGAACTTCAGTGGTATGTTTAAGCTTTCTTTATATGTATGAAGGGTTTTTAAGAATAACTGTTTTATTCTACAATATGTTAAGGGAATAAAGGATAACAGTTGATAAAAAATTTGCTTGAATAAAAGTGAACGTACATTGTCATAAGTGGTTTCCATTTTACTACTGCTTTCACGCAGCTTTCTAGTAATGAAAAAGAAAAATAATTTACAGATTCTTAGTGTTTGGTTAAGCCAAGTGATATTTTTTTCTTTACAAAAAAGTAATAAAGATAAGATAAACAGGAATGGTAAGTTTCAACCTTATTTAAACCCAGTGTAGCCTGCCCGTTCGAATGAACTTTAACATGTGTGCCAAGTCAGGAGATTGAAGACTTACGTTAGAGGATATCAGGTATACCAGCTGCTAGAGTCTGCCAGTTGGACACTGCTAAATGTGGCACTAAATGCAGCTTTTAGTGCTAATTAATGCAGCTTTTACTGTAAGAGACAGCATACTTCCCTGTCTTTTATTCTTTTCTTTGTTGTTCTGTTTTCATCTATTCTTCCCTGCCTTCCCCTCCTTTTTTTTTTTTTTAAACTAGAGAAGTAGTAGACAGTGGAGCAGGGGTTCCCAACTGTGGAACTGCTCACCAGAATCAATACACGTTTGAGGAAATATATAAAATAATGCTCTACCGCATATAAAAAGCCAGACCAATTAATAAATACCATTTCACACTCATCAGACTGAAACATATTTTTAAAATGTGAGTGTGCCATGTCTCCAACAAAACTTCAAGTTTCTTAATCATAATTTGGTATTTCTTTATCTGTCATTGCCCCTAACAGTGTTATGAAAACTACAATGTAAACTGCCAAATACAGAAGTTTTTGTGTTTTGTTCATTGCTATATCTGCAGTGCGTAGAAAGTGCCCAGTACATAGTAGGTAATCAATGAACATTTGTGGAAGAATGAATGATATTAGCTCTTAACAAATACTTGCTCATTAATTGGATGACTGAGAAGCCTCAGGACAGAAAGTTTTCCTAAGAAGCCTCCAGTCAGTTTTTAGAAACATCAGACCAAGTTTTCAGAGTTGTAAGGACTGAAGTTGGTTGAGCATGGGTTGTGACAGGAATGAAAGGCGAGACAAGGGATTCCCCTCTCTGACCACATATTCCTACCACAGTTCCCACTTCCCTGTCCTTAGTACCTCAAATACCCAACACTTCATAATTCACCCAGTTGCTAACCTTTTGGGGGCCATATTTCCTTTTTTTTTTCCTAATCAGCATTCCGTTGTCATATGCGTCATGATTCCCAAAAATGGTTTCCATTGCTATTAACTTAGATCAGTCAATTCTGTGCTTTGACAACTACTATACTCTTCTGTTTGATCTTTGGACTTTCCTCACCCCAATTCATCACTGCCAGACTAATCTTTCCAGAATATCACTTTCATGATGCTACTACCCTGCTCAAAAGTCTTTAATGGCTGCTATATGTCACCTACTTAAAAGATTTAAATTTCTTAGCTTTGTACCCACAGCCCTCAGTGACCAGTTCCCCATTAATCTGTCTTCTCTGTGTTATTACCCAGGACTCCTCAGATTCAACTAGTCAGGTGTACTCATGTTGCCCCAAACCACCTTGTGTTTTTTATGCCTCTGTGTTTTATTTGCTCATGGGGCCTAAATGTCCCAAGCTCTCCAGTCTTCAGCCCAAGTCCTTTTTTTGAATGTCCAAACTATAATTCTGTGAGCATTCTCTTCTTAAGTAACTTTCAAAATTTCTGAAGAATGCTTTCGAGTCCCAGAAACCATGGTGTTGTCATTTGTCACCATGGTCAGCTTCTCACTCCAGAATAATCCTCCACTCGCAGTCGATCACAGTTTGATCTTTCAAAACTGACTTCTATGTGCTGCTGCTTTTCTCCAGGGGTAATTGTGTCCCAGGCATCCTCCCGGCTGCATATCTAATCCCACACACTACAGGTGCATCTAGATGATACTAGTGTGCAAAGTTTTACACACGGCTTAGGGATAATGAGTGAAACTACTGGAACTACTGATGCTCTCGGACCTTTGTCACCCTCCTTTCCCTGCTCCCTTACTCTCCACACCTGCAGTAACCCTTGAAGGGCAAGTTTGTCTCTACTGGGTGGACTTGGACAGTCAGAGAACGTATACTGAATGTTCATTAAGTACTAGGCAATATGCTAGGCATTGAGGATACAAGAGTGAAGCAACTACACACAGTTCCTGTTTTCATGACAGACATTAAATCATTACAAATAGTTGAGTGAATAACTCTTAGTGTGCAAAATGCTGCCAAAGACATGCCCAGAGTCCAAGCTTTAGGTCTTCTACATTCTCTGGATCTCAGAGAGTGTGTGTGTGTGTGTGTGTGTGTGGGAGCAGTGTTTCCACCTCTTATAGTATTCTATCCAGCCAAATGAATAATAATAGAATCTGTAGAAAAACAATTCTGAACTTAAGGAAGACAGCTTTTTACATTGTTATGCAGACAGTTTAGCTCCTGATTTTTTCATATTTCCTCAATAGAGAACGAAATGAGCCAAAATTTATGAACACTTAAACTATGTGTTTGTAACCACTCTAAGCTATGTATGTATGTATGTATGTATATGTGTGTATGTGTGTGTGTGTGTGTATATATATATACATATATATATGCCATATATATATAATTTTCACAATAACCTGAGAAGGAGTTCTATTATTTTCCCCATTTTACAGATGAGGCAACTAAGGCACAGAAAGGTTATAACTAGCTTGAAGTCACAGAGCAAGTAATGGCAGAATTAAGAATCCAGGCAATCTGACTACCCAGCCCAAATTCTTTATTACTACCTCTTAATACAGAGAATTTGCATAATCATTAAAACGATTTTCCTAAAACAATGGGTCAATCTTTTCTTGAAGGTGCATTCTACCTCCATCTTTCAAGCAGAGAGAAAACACCAGCAACCTGTCAATATCAGCTGCCTATCTTCTGTCTCTGAACTGTCATCCCACAGCAAGGATCAGGGGGCCCTGCCACATCATGCTTCTCCATTCAGTTGGACTGCTCTCCTTTTCAGCTGTTGAAACTCCACCCATTCTTTCTACAGAAGCCAAACCAAGCCCTTCACAGGCCTAGTTCAGCAATCTCTTCCATCTCTGAATTCATGTAACAATCAGTTTATAGACATACTCTTACAGATGACCTACTCTACTAGGTTTATAGGGAGCGTATATTTCCCCAAAGTAAATAGCACAGTGCCTTGCACAGAACTGGTACTCAAAAAAGAATTGACTGACCAACTGATTAAGAGGGGTTCCTCAGAGCGTAGGGGTCTGTGTGGTAGGCAGCAAGACTGCTAACATTTTAGTTCTTGATTTTACATTTTATATGATTTTTAAAAAAATCAATGGCAATTCTGAACATATCTGGAAAATGTTCATTCAATAAATACGTAATGTACCAAGGCATTGTGCTAGGTTTTAGAAGTAAAACAAACTCTCCTGACTTCTATACCCAAATTACCAGCTGCCTTCCAGATTTATCCACAGATTCAAATCCAAGATTATCATCCTTATTCCTACAACACAGCAACAAATATTCCAAACTTTCCCCTCCTCAAAGTCTCAACATTTCTTGCAGGCTCTCTGTCACCTTTGGGACACATGTCAATTACTTTTTCCATTAAAAAAAAGTCTATGTCATATATTCATTCTATGAATGTAATGAGGATACAGTACCAAGAGACCATGTTCTTTACTCTTTTGCCAACATAATACCATCAGGACAACTCTGTTTATATGTAGATCTTGTATTAACTGTGGGGCAGCTGCGATTTTAATTTATTATGTGATAAAAGAGTTTACAATTACTTTCAGACATCATTTTTTAATTGAGGATTTTAAGTGGGAAAAATGAAACAAAGAAATTGTTATGCTTTTCACAGCCCTTGAGAAACAAATTTTTATGCAATGAAAAAATGTAATTAAATAAAACTCAAATTTAAAAAGCTAAAAATTCATATTAATGATCAGTGGTATACAGATGTTTAGTTTTCTGCCACAATTTCATCCAGAATTAATTAGCTTCTAAAATAAAATACATGGAAAATTGAGGACTCGCTTGAACCTTAATGCAACAAATATGAACTAGATTTTTAGTTCTTTGTAACTTTCTGCAAAAATTCTACAAATGTATTGGTATAAATTATGTTAGGGGTGGAATTGGTTCCTATGTTAGTTTTCCATACAAATTTAAAGACAGGCATCTTGTCATTTGATTGCTTCTGCTCTAAGTGGGTTCTTCATATTTTACTTGAGTTAACTTGCAAAGCAATTGTATGTGTATTTATGTATCTATGTCTCTATCTATCTAAACAATTACTTTGCAGGTTAATATGTATACATGTTAGTATTAAAATTAAAAATTGGTAAATAAAAAATAGTAAATATAGAGAATCTAAAAAAATATTGTTAAGTCATTTCGCCCACACCGTAACAGTGATATAAAACATGAACATGACGTCTGATAGGATTGACAATGAAGTAAGAAAATGTCTGTTCATGACTCTTTGTTGAAGGGTAGCACATACCAACAGAATCCTGAAAAAGACAAACTTTATTTAGTATATAATTACATTTAAATAGCATATTTGACTAATATATTTTGTTAAAATGTAATGAAACATACATCAAATCTGACAATAAATTGGCAGTTAACTAATATTTTTAAATATTGACAGCACAGTCTACTGTGCTTATAGTATATCTGTACAGTACTATTGGGTTGTCGGAAGTGTCATGATGTATTTTGTCTATGTTTTTCTAAGGTCAATTATTTATATAAAGAACAAAGATCAATCAATGATATATTGCCCGTTTTGTTCAATAACCTTTTGCCATCTTTCAGTGAGCTTCATAATTCGTCGTTCATAGAAAGACCTGTCTTTATTTGCAAAAAACTAAACAAGGTGCTGATTTACAGCCTCATCTGAATTAAATGTTATCCCATGCAAGGAGTTTTGAAGACAGTGAAACAAGTGGAAGTCTGACGGCACAAGGTCAGGCGAGTATGGTGGGTGTGGCAACACATCCCATCCAAGCTCCAATAATTTTTGATGGGTGATCAAACTTGTGTGTGCTCTCGCGTTGTTGTGATGGAACACAACTCCTTTACAATTAACAAGCTCTGGACATTTCTGGATGATGGATTCGTTCAAACTGTCCAATTGCCAACAGTACACATTCGAATTGATTGTTAAGTTCCTTGGTAGGAGCTCGAAAAACACACCTTTAAAATCCTACCACACTGAGAGCATAAGCTTTCCCTGATGAACGTCTGCTTTCGATGTCGTTTGAGGCGAATCATCACGTTGGTACCAAGATCGTTTGCACACCACATTGTTATAAACAATCCACTTCTCATCACCAGTAATCAGTCGTTTCAAAAAAGGATCATTTTCCTCACATTTAATGAGCATATTGCAGATGTTTATACGTGCTGTCAAATGAATTTCTTTGAGTTCATGCGGAGCCTAAATATCAAGCTTGCTTAGGTATCCCAGCTTCTTCAGGTGGTCGTGAACATGTGAATGATGGATGTTCAATGTTTCTGCAATCTCTCGTGTCATGTAACATGGGTTTGACTTGATCAATATCTTTATTTTGTCGTCATCAACCTTGGTGGGCTCCCCTGACTGAGGAGTGTGGTTGAGATCAAAATCACCAGCACAAAATTTCATGAACCATCGTTGGCACTGACGTTCTTGTAGAGAGAGCACTGTCACCGTAAACTTTATGCAACTTTTCACAAGCTTGATACGTGTTCTTCCCTTTATGGAAGTAAAACAGTAAAATATGGCAAAAATGCAGTTTGGTCTTCCATCTTCAACTTGCTGTAAAATCTCCAAAACTCAACCAAATCGCTCAATTTTTTTAAGAATGAAGCTAGAACTGTCAGCTGTCAAATGACACAGAAATAACATAGATGTGAATGACTCTAGTACTTCCAAAAATGAACTAGTGCCATCTATTGCAAACATGAGTCATGACTTTTCTGACAACCCAATACATAAACATGAGTAATTCTTTTTTTTTCCCTATTTCTCTTTTTTTAAAAATTTTTTTTATTGTTACTTTCAGGTGTACAGAACAATACAATAGTTACCCTTTTCACCCTCACCAGGTAACAACCCCCCTCCCCCCATCTATTGCCCTCCCACCCCCGATATCATGCTTATCTATTACAATTGCATTGAATCCATTCCCACTCTCTACTCCATGTCCTGAGACTATATGTATATATATAATTATAGTTGACATACAGTATTATTCAAC